TTCCAGGGGGATTTGCCAGGCTGGTAATTTGTTTGGCGCTGATAATTGCATCTTACATTTTTCCAGCTTTACTTAAAACTGTGTGCTGGGTGCGCCAGCATTTAATTACTGCTCTGCGGCAGCCACAAGGTTATTTATTAAAGAGTTATTTTATCTTGATACAGTGGATCCTGCCCCTTATCCCCTCCTTAATGTTGTGTTATTTTCATCAGAGAAATTTCCGCGAGTGAATGCAGATTGCGGGGCTGCCTCCCCCTGCGATTAGGCTGTCACTCCACTGAATGCTGATGCCTCTGGGCGCCGCACCGCCCTATTATAGGGGGTTGTCAGCGCAAATAATTAGACTTAAAAGTTATAGCTGAAATATAATCCAGAAATGGCAGGGCCCTGTTTTGGAAATTGTCTATAAAATGTCAGCACTAAGGATACTCAGGGAACGGTAATAGACCGGCATTGTTGGAGCTTGAGATTAGACCCTAAGTGCATTTTTCCCAGCTCCAGTTTTTCCTTCCCTGCTGTTGCTTCTGTCAATAGACTGAGGCCAGGGTGAGTCCAGCTCCTTTTGGAGGCCTTGTGCTTGTGACAGCAGGAGGAAGATGGTGGGGCTGCCATCAGTGAGGCATCAGCCACTCCTGGCTGTTGGCATGGGGATGGCTCTCCAGACAGGCCTAGGACACAGGGCCCCATTGGTGCTTGGGACAACAAGAGATTCCCTCCACCCTTCAGATATTCTGACCTCCCAGCCCACAGGGAAGTGGTATGTGAATTTTAAGAAACTGAACTCCAGATTCCTTGCATGTGGTTTCTTTGTGAAAGAGTAAAAACAATGCCCCCAGGGGCCTCTGGGGTTAAGTCCCTTGCCTGGTATTGGGGAAACCCCTAAGTAACCTCACATGCACCCCCAGCCACTGGAGTGCCACCTGCCACCTACACATAGAAGAGGGGAAAAGAAAAGCATTCTTAGATCCAGGCACCCGTGGTTGACGCCTGTAATCCTATTTACATAGGAGGCTGAGATCTGAGGATGAAGGTTGGAAGCCAGTCCAGACAGGAAAGTCTATGAGACTCCTATCTCCAATTAACCACTAGAAAACTGGAAGTAGTAGAGTACTAACTTTGAGTGAAAAGCTCAGGGACCGTACACACGCCCTGAGCTCAAGCCCTAGGACTGACACCCCCCCCCCAAAAAAAAAAAAGCATTCTTAGCATCATTTCCCAAAGGGCATTTTTTTTTTTTTTTACAGTGGCTAAGGTTGAAGGTTTTAAAGGAGTGTCCCAGGAAATTGGCCTGACCTTCAGGGCTGATTCACAAAGTGAATTCACAAAGTCTTCTAGGAGTGTTTGGGGGTAAGGTCCAGTTAAGTTTTTGGACTGACTAGATACAGATCTAAGGTTTATTGGTCAAGCACCCGCTTCCTTCTTCTGGGTCTCTTGCTTCTGCCATCTGAGACCTGATCTTAGGATTCATCACTGACCAGCCTTAGCAGCCTTCCCTGAAAGTTCCCTGTCACAAACTGTCTAGTTGGTTTGGGGGAGCGGGGGCAGGGTTAGTTTTAATTTAATGATTTTTTTTCCCTCCATTTATAGCTGACACTCTTACCACTTGAACCATACTTCTACCGCTCACTTTTTATTTTTTATTTTTTTTGGGGGGGGGGGGGGGCGGGTCCAGTCGCAGAGCCTGAACTCTAGGCCTGGGCACTGTACCTCAGCTCTTCAGCTCAAGGCTAGCGCTCTACCACTTGAGCCACAGCGCCACTTCCGGCTTTTTTCTTTTTGCTTATGTGGTGCTGAGGAATCTAGCCCAGGGACTGATGCATGCAAGGCAAGCGCTCTACCACTGAGCCACCTTCCCAGCCCATACTCACTTTTTACTAGTTAATTGGAAATGAGTCTCTTGGGTTTGTCTGCCAAGGCTGGCTTCAGAATGTGATCCTCAGGTCTCCACCTCCTAAATAGCTAAGATTACAGATGTGAGCTACCAGTTCCTGCCTCAAAGTCCCATTCTTATACCAGCTGGAGCTGCATTTCCTACTGGCTTTATCCCCAAAGCCTTGTTAGCCAGGGCTCTAAAGCTTTTCACCACACAAATCTACTATATTTTTGAAGGTGGTAAATAAAAGTGTCAGTGTGGGCTGGGAAGGTAGCTTAGTGGTAGAGTGCTTACCTAGCATGCATGAAGCCCTGGGTTTGATTGCTCAGTACACATAAACAGAAAAAGCAGAAGTAGCACTGTGGCTTAAGTTGTAGAGTGCTAGCCCCTGAGTTCACCAGGACTGGCAAAAAAAAAATGTCAGTGTTGTTGTCTCCCCTTATCTGTGCTTATGAGGCAATGGCATGGGAGCCTCTGGCCACTGTGGTGCTTGAGAATGGTTTTCTCTTGAATCTGTTAACCGTACTCCTCAACAGGGAGCAGAAGGAGCAACTGGCCAAAATGACAGAGAGGCTGGGTCAATTATAGTTTCTTCTCCTTCTGGAACTCATCCTCAGCAGGCCTGGTCTTATGTCTGCACACAGCCTGTGCCTCACCTCATAGCACCTGCCCCTTGGGCTAGCTCCAGAGCCCAGACTGGCAGCAGCCTATTTGTACCACTCCTTGTGCCAGCTGAAGGGAGTTCTTGAAAGGGGCTCTTGCCAGTCATCACCCTGAATCCACCTGTTCTCTACTATGAGAAATACTGAACTTGTGACACATTATCATCATCCTTGATTCCTGGCATTTAGGAAAGATGATAAAAAACATCTACTTAAGCTGGGCTCCAGTGGCTCATGCTTGTAATACTAGCAACTCAGGAGACTGAGATCTAAGGATCACAGTTCAAAGCCAGCTTAGTCAGGAAATTTCCTGAGACTATCTCTAATCAATTACTAAAAACAAACAAACACAAAAGTGGAGCTGTGGCTCAAGTGGTAGAGCACTGGCCTTGAGCAAATGAAGCTCAAGAATAGCACCCAAACCCTAAGTTCAAGCCCAGGACTGGCAAGCACGCATGCACGCACGCACGCACGCACGCACGCACACACACACACACACACACGCACGCACGCGCACACACACACACACGCACGCACACACTCCACTTAAACTAATGTAAACAGAATAAGGATTCTCTGGTGTTACAAAACTAAAAACTTAAAAAATTGTAGAAGTAGATTTGGTGTTGGGAAGGGCTAGAGTTGGATATTCAGTTTGGTCAGGCTGTTTGCTCTCCACTGTTGGCACCTTTGTTCTTAAGCATTCTCCCGGTTTTTTGTTGTTGTTGTTGTTGTTGGTTGTGGGGCTTGAACTCTGGACCTGGGTACTGTTCCTAAGCTCTTAAGCTCAAGGCTAGCGCTCTACCACATGAGCCACAGTGCCACTTCCAGTTTTGTGGTGGGTAATTGGAGATAAGAGTCTCACAGATCTTCTTGCCCAGGCTGGCTTTGAACCATGATCCTCAGATCTCAACCTCCTGAGTAGCTAGGATTATAAGTGTGAGCCACCAGTGCCCAGCTTCTCCTGTGTCTTTCCAGTGTTTTTTTTCTCTAGAGGACTCAGAGTGAAGCAGGCCACAGAAGTATTGGAAACAAGGGCTGTGCAAGGTTTCATAGGCTGGTAAAGGTGCATTTGGAAACCATGCGGGAGCTTGTTAAATGGAGGAGTGGCAGATTTCTGCCACCTGTTTATGAGAAGTCAATTAGGTGGGGTACAGAAGATGATACAATGCAGGAAAACCAGTGAAGATGGCATCCACTTGTAACCCAAGGAGTGAGGTGGTGACTTGTATTTTAGAAATAGTTACCCATGTATTTGGAGAGAAATAAATAAGATTTGAAAGTTAGGCAGTGAATGGTATTAGCACCATCGGGTGACTTAGTGAATGTCTTGACTCTTGGCCTCAGTTTGACCCTCATGTAGTTAGACCCAGTGTTTCAGCTCTGATGCTGTGATACAGGACTGTGTGAGTTGCTCCTGATCGGGTGTCACCGGTCCTCTGCATGCCTCGTCTCTCCAGCAAGGCTTCTTGGAAAGTTGTGTCTCATAGTGCCCTGGGGTCACTTAGTCTCACTGTCTGCTTTCTCCAGTCCTATGTGTAACGGTACCCATTAGGACACACCCGAGCCTTTGCCCAGCAGCTGCATGACCTGTCTGCATGCCACACATGCCTGCGTGTAGCTAGGTCTTGTCTGTCTTCCCCTCTCTCTGCATGCTCCAAATGTCTGTACCAAGCTTGCGATTTCAGGGGGTGTTCCCAGGCTGCACCCTGGACTGAGAAGTTGAGGACAACTTCTGGCCAGGGGAGTCTAAGGTGGGGAGTTGTGTCCAAACACAGCCACCCTCCCTCTTGAGATCCTTGCTCACTGGCACAGAATGCCATCTGTTCGGTGCCCTCATCCTGTTACTGCCATCGTCATGCCCATCCTGCCCGCAGACCACGTCCCTGGCCCGCCTCACCCCTTGCCCTGGCCCAGCCCTCCTGGGTTCCAGGCTGTACCTCAAGCACAGCTGAGGCCCAGCAGGTGGTCATGCCATTTCTCTTTCCCTTGGCCTGGAGGTAGAGGACTGCTCTGCCCCAATCATGCTGTGAGGACCCTGACCCTAGGGCCTGGATTTCTCTGGTACCCCAGCTGGTCCCTCTGGAGATGCATGGGGAGGGGGTCAGAAGTAAGCTAGGTTGTGGCCTTGACCAGGCCTGGACCTTGCACTGAGTCTTCTGTCTGTGGCCCTGGACAGACAGAATTTTTCTGGGCCTCAATGTCTCAGGCTATAAAATGGGAACTTGATTATAAGAACTTTCATTAAGATGTGCTATTCCAGATGGTCCCTGAGTGCAGGAACTACTTGTAGCCCCAAAGTGGGGTGGGATATGGTGAGCCAGGGTCCAGGGACACCACCCCTCCTGTCTCTGAGCATGGGCTTGGCTCTGACAAGAGGAGCTTCCTGGATGAGGGGCCCCTGCCCTTCCTTCCAAACTCGTGTCCTACCTAGCCTGTGAGTGTCTCTCTCCCTCCTCCTGCAGTGCGCCGTGTGGCTCCTCGTTTCTCCATCCCTCCCAGCAGCCAGGAGGTGATGCCTGGTGGCAGTGTGAACCTGACATGTGTGGCAGTGGGTGCACCCATGCCCTATGTGAAGTGGATGATGGGGGCTGAGGAGCTCACCAAGGAGGACGAGATGCCAGTTGGCCGCAATGTGCTGGAGCTCAGCAATGTTGTACGCTCTGCCAACTACACCTGTGTGGCCATCTCCTCGCTGGGTATGATAGAAGCCACAGCCCAGGTCACAGTGAAAGGTAAGTAAACCAGGTACCTGCCACAGCTGGTGCCCTTCCCTGTCACGGAGGCTTCTAAGAAATCCTAGCTCCTATAGCAAATGAGTAAAAGCTGGCTACTATGGGCATAGACAAGATAAAGGTGTCCATCATTACCCTCCTCTGGGTGCCCTGTCTTGGATCCTCTGTACCATTGGAGGAAGAGGGGCTTCTGTTGTTCATAGCCTTAATGACAATAGCTAGCACATATTGAGTTGCGGACATCATGCTGATAAATACAGTTTATTTTATCTTGTTTTAGCTTTAGTCTGGGCAATAGATGCTCTTATATGTTCTGTAAATGAAGGAACTAAGGTACAGAAAGACTACATTATTTGCCCAGAGTCACACAGAAGTAAATGACAGAGTGAGGACTTAAACCTAGGTGATCTGAATCTTCGGCCTCTTCCCAACTACTTCAAAGTACCAGACCCTTGGACTGGACAGCATCCTAGAAACATGGTAAAATAATAGTCATTTAGCATGAGCTGGTGGCTCACGCCTGTAATCCTAGCTACTCAGGAAGCTGAGATCTGAGGATCGAGGTTCAAAGCCAGCCCCGGCAGGCACATCCATGAGATTCTTATCTCCAATAAAACCACTAGAAAACCAGAAGTGGGCTGTGGCTCAAGCAGTAGAGCACTCGCCTTGAGCTGAAGAGTGCAGGGACAGTGCCCAGGCCCAGAGTTCAAGCCCCACGACTGACCAAAAAAAAAAGTAGTCATTTAGGGTTTGGGGTTCTCTGTTCATGGAGTCCTAGGAGCAGACATATGTACGTAATACAGATGTGATAGACTTTACTGGTTACCCTGCTTCTGTTCTTGCCTGCCTCTTATCCATCCTCGATTCTGCAACTTGAGTGATCTTTATTTTTGGGGGTGGGCGGGGGTCTGGTTGTGGGGCCTGAACTCTGGGCCTGGGCGCTGTCCCTCAACTCTTTAGCCCAAGGCTAGCGCTCTACCACTTGAGCCACAGCGCCACTTCCGGCTTTTTTCTTTTTGCTTATGTGGTGCTGAGGAATCGAACCCAGAGCCTCAGGCATGCAAGGCAAGCGCTCTACCACTGAGCCAACTTCCCGGCCCTTCAATGATCTTTTTAAGATACGAACTAGGATCATGTTATTCCCTGCCCCCATCTTTTGCATAGTGATGGGGAACACACTCGGGGCCTCATGTATGCTAGGCAAATACTATGCCACTGAACTATCCTCCAGCCCATGTCACTCCCATGTTGTATTTTATTTTGACTGTTTTAAATTGTTACTCAAAAGGTGATACACAGAGGGGTTAGAATTACATAAGTCAGGAAAAGAGTACATTCCTTTTTGGACGATGTCACCCCTTCCCTTGTTCTCTCCCAGTTCCTCCCTCCCATGCCCACCCTCAAGTTGTATAGTTCATTTTCAACATAGTGTCTAGTGAGTACCACTGCTGCATTTACTCACCCTTGATCCTTCCATTCAGAAAGGGAGGAACAACTGTCAGTGACTCTCATTGCTCTTGGGATAAAGATTAGGACTTTTACCATGGTCCCCTAAGGCTAGCTTGCCTTCTGTCCTTAGCATGCATTGATATACAATGTTTTCAGTTTGCCTTGCTCCCTTCCTGCCCAGCCCTTCTTGTCACTGGCTCTACTCCCCTCATACCTCAAGCTGTAACACTTTCCCTCCTCGATCACCCCACCTAAGGAGATTATGTGGATTTTTCTGTATCTCATCAACCTCCCCCCCCCCCCCTCCCCCCCCCCCCGCCGTCCTTGTACATGATTATCATCAACTTGTTCATTGATTCTCTCACTGGAGTATAAACTCCATGAGGATAAGAATGTCACTCTATGGCACTATTTCTCCCATGCATTTTCTGGTATTTAGCGGGAAATCCATAATTATTCATTGGATGATTGTGTGTCTGAGATTTCTCTACCTTCCACTTGAGTCAATCTATGGAGTATGTTAGTAGCCCCATCTCTCATTCTAAACTCTAGGGCTAGCCCCTTAGGAAATATCTCCCTCCCACACACTTGTTAAACACTTGCCACCAGATAAGTATAGGTAAGCTACAGAATTGTGTCTGTTATCTAGTCTGGATGGTTGATTTCCATCATCATGGGACCTCAAAGAACATACCACCTCTGAGTCTATTTGTTACTAGGTAGTAGACCAATTTGTTACATACTTGCATTGGGTATGACCCAAGGCTCCCCAGAAGTACCAGTGGGCCTGATTTGCTGTACCCTTCTAGGTGCTAGTCTTCAAGATAGGCTATGGTCACATGCTTATGGATGATGCTCAAGGGTAGGATTGCTTTCCAGGTCAGGACCTCAGGAAGTCCTAAGTGTTATATACTTTGTCCCCAGCTCTGCCAAAGCCTCCAATTGATCTTCTGGTAACAGAGACAACTGCCACCAGCGTCACTCTGACCTGGGACTCTGGAAACGCGGAGCCTGTGTCCTACTATGGCATCCAGTACCGTGCAGCTGGCACAGAGGGCCCCTTTCAGGAGGTAGATGGGGTAGCCACTACCCGCTACAGCATCGGTGGCCTTAGCCCTTTCTCAGAATATGCCTTCCGAGTGCTGGCGGTGAACAGCATTGGGCGAGGACCACCCAGTGAGTCCGTGCGAGCACGCACGGGTGAGCAAGCTCCCTCCAGCCCTCCACGCCGTGTGCAGGCTCGCATGCTGAGTGCCAGCACCATGCTGGTGCAGTGGGAGCCACCTGAGGAGCCCAACGGCCTGGTGCGGGGATACCGAGTTTATTATACTCCAGACTCACGCCGCCCCCTGAGTGCCTGGCATAAGCACAATACTGATGCGGGGCTCCTTACCACTGTGGGCAGCTTGTTGCCTGGCATCACCTACAGCCTGCGAGTACTTGCCTTCACTGCTGTGGGCGATGGCCCACCTAGCCCCACCATCCAGGTCAAGACGCAGCAGGGAGGTAGGTGGGACTGGGCACTGGGATGGGCTGCAGAGAGGCTGTGGTGGAGCCCTTCCTCCCTCAGGCTGTGCGATTAAGAGCTGAGGGAGGATAAGGGCAACATATTCCATAGATGCATGGTCACTTGGGATACAGGATGAGAGAGAGTGTGTGGAGCCCCTTCTCTTTCCCTGGGTGCCCCTGCCCTTGGGGTGTCACAAAACTGACAGATCCTGCGATGGGTGTTGCAGTGCCAGCACAGCCGGCGGACTTCCAAGCAGAGGCTGAATCGGACACCAGGATCCAGCTCTCCTGGCTGCTGCCCCCACAGGAGCGTATCATCAAGTATGAGTTGGTGTACTGGGCAGCAGAGGATGAAGGCCAACAGGTGAGCCATAGGGGACACGGAGGGGGAAGGAAGGGTTCTCTGTTCCTGAGGGTCTTTGGTGGGTGTCCCCAGGCAGGCTTTCATGGTTTTTGTGGCTCATGTGGGCACAGACTGCTTTTTCTGTGGAGTCTGTGGCTTATATAATTCTGTAGTACTTGCCACTCCTGTGCTTGAGGCAGAGTTCCTAAGGTTTGCCTGTGGTTCTCCTGGGCTTTGTGAGTTAATTGGTAATGGCAGAACCCTGAAGTTCCCTTAGGGCCATGTATTCCTGGTGGCTTCTATGGCCTGTGGTCCATGAGTCACCTGTGGTGTGGGCCAGGTCATGTATTCCTTGTGGGTTCCACATGACCTTGTGGTCTGCCTCCTATAGCCATGGTGGGCTCACAGAGGACAAGTGGAAGCCCACGTGGGGAACAGTCTCTGATGGCCTTTGAGGTCTAAGCAGTGAGTGCGTGCCCCCTGCTCTTCCAGCACAAGGTGACCTTCGACCCTACCTCCTCCTACACTCTAGAGGACCTGAAGCCTGACACGTTGTACCGCTTCCAGCTGGCCGCCCGCTCGGATATGGGGGTGGGCGTCTTCACGCCCACCTTAGAGGCCCGCACAGCACAGTCCAGTAAGTGTCTCCGGAGGCCACTACTGTCACACCTGGGCTGGGACACTCACATAGACACACATGCACACAACTTCCCCTCTGATCACATGAATGAATATTGGGTCCAGTATTGGTCTCTCATCTGGGCTGAGTCTGGACCCTAAGCAAAGGACAGGTAAGTCTTCCCTAGTCTGTGACCAGGAGGCTGCTACACTCTCTGCCCAGCCTCCTTTCTCCTTTCCCTCTCGCCCAGGTAAGTTCTATATCTGTGACTCATCTTTGTTCTCTGACCTCCCTCCAGTTGGGTCATACCAGTGACTTAGTGGGTTTGCCATATCTCACACCTGCTTTGGCAGTTGTCTTTTCCATAGCCCTACATCTCATCTTCCCCATCCCCTTTCTCATACTACTTACTTGTGAGCTGTGTTATCTCCCTGAGGTCACGTGCTTAGGGACAAGTCTATGATAATCTGACTGCATAGAACATGCTTCCATGTCTGCCTGAGGAACCATGTCATTTGTGTGGTGATTGTGTGGCATGAGGTGTTGTATTCCGCATGTGGGAGACTGACAGTATGAATGTATATGTGCAACTTCTTTTCTTTGGGGGGGGGGGGGTCTGGTCGTGGGGCCTGACCTCTGGGCCTGGGCGCTGCCCCTTAGCTCTTCAGCTCAAGGCTAGCGCTCTACCACTTGAGCCACAGCACCACTTCCGGCTTTTTTCTTTTTGCTTATGTGGTGCTGAGGAATCGAACCCAGAGCCTCAGGCATGCAAGGCAAGCGCTCTACCACTGAGCCACCTTCCCAGCCCCTATATGTGCAACCTCTATGAGCCTACACCTGACTATACCTGGTCAGCTGGTGCCAGTGGATCATGGGTATGGCCTTTGTAACTGTTACTGTGGGTAATTGTGATGACCCTGTTGGTCCTATGAATGGGTCTGTGTAGTTCACCAGATGAAGATGGCAGACCATTCGGTGCTATGTTTGTGAGAGACTCTGGGCATGATACTGTGTAATCATCTGTTGGCATTTGATTTTTGTGGCCATGGTGTGGCTGGCTGAATGGCACCATGTGATTGAGAAGGTAACCACATATGATAGCCCTAAACATGACAGTATTGTGAAATTCCTATGGTTTAGGACTGTGTATGAACCAGTGATGTCTAGAGACTGCCTGTGACCTTGGGTTCATGGATTCATTCTTGAAGCACACCTGCAATATGCCTGCTGGGAACCAGGCCCTATGAGTAGTACAGAGCTGGCAGAATGGCCTCTGCCCACAGGGACTCTACAGTTAAGTAAGGCAGGAATCCACATGTTATTACCCAAATGAGCTTTTAATTGCATTGGTGTGAAGTAGGATTAAGAAGATCACCAGGTAGAGAGATGATAGTATGAGAATCTCCCCTGGCGAGGGGTCAATAGAGAGATTCCTTGGAGAGATAAAAATCACTGAGGCCTGAAAGTGGCAGCCGACTGGGTAAGAACAGGAACCGAAGCCAGCCACCAGTGGCTCACCCATGTAATCCTAGCTACTTAGGAGGCGGAGATCTGAGGATCTCGGTTCAAAGCCAGCCAGGGGCAGGAAAGGCTGTGAAATTCTTATCGCCAATAAACCACTCAGAAAACCGGAAGAGGCTGGGGCTCAAGTGGTAGAGTGCTTGCCTTGGGCTGAAGAGCTGAGGGATAGCACTCAGGCCCAGAGTTCAAGACCCACGACTGACGACTGACGAAGAAGAAAAAAAAAAAAGGAAAAAGAACAGATAACACAGGGCCAGAGGCCTTAGCACTGTGGCTAGAACAACGGCTGGATCCATAGCAGTAAGAGCCTGGGGACAGAGGGCACTGGCTCTGGCTGCTGTGTTGAGTGTGAATAGGGAAGCTCACACAGAATCAGGAGATCACTCAGAAGCCTTTGCACACTGGCCTAGGCAAAGGATGATGGCTCAGCTGAGGTTGAGGTGGTGGTGATTTAAGAGTTGTCTGGTATACCAGTTATCCAGGAGTTGGTGATGGATTGAGAATGGGAGAAAGAAAGAGAAGGAGCAGGAACCAGGTATATGTTGGTTCTGGTATATGAGATCTGAGAAGTGCATACTACTACCAGATTAGGAAATAAATATAAAGAGGGCACCTTACTGGGTGCCAGTGACACACACCTGTAATCCTAGTCAGGACACTGAGGCCTGAAAGGATCTCAATTTGAAGTTAGCCTAGTTTTCTTGTAGAACAGTCAGCAAGACTTGATGTTCAGTTAACCAGAAAAATGCCACACTGAAGGTGTGGATCATGTGGTCGAGTGCCAGTAGCAAACAAGAAAGCCAAGCAAGAGCATGAGGCCCTGAGTTTTAGCTCCAGTACCAGCTCACGCGCGTGCACACACACACACACACACAAGTATACCTAGTTTGGAGAACTTGCAGTTCAAGATGTTGTGTGCTAGGCTGGGAAGGTGGCTCAGTGGTAGAGCGCTTGCCTTGCATGCATGAGGCCCTGGGTTCGATTCCTCAGCACCACATAAGCAAAAAGAAAAAAGCCGAAAGTGGCGCTGTGGCTCAAGTGGTAGAGCGCTAGCCTTGAGCTAAAGAGCTGAGGGACAGCGCCCAGGCCCAGAGTTCAGGCCCCACGACCAGACTCCACCCCCCCTCCACCCCCAAAAAAAATATGCTGTGTACTGTCCAAAGGCAGAGGTACTTAAGGGGGGATGGGAGGACACGAAATGGGACTAAATCCAAGAACATGTAGTGTCTTGGAAATTGAAAGTTGTTTTGAGAAATAGACCTCTTGCTGCTTTGGAGTAAGACAGGAGCAGAGGAATTTGGGCCTTCCTTTCTTGCTGAATCTAGGGGGTGGAAGAGTGGACCTGATAAGAGTTAAGAGTAGCATGGGGACTATGGGAAATGAGGAAGTAGGACAGCAAGCCCCGAGGATGTCAAGTTCAGCTATGAAGGGAAGCATGGTAACTGGAGAGGGAGACTTTAGCATTGAATATGGGGCTTTCTTTTAAGGTAGGAAGAAGGTCTTGAATATATTTAAATGCTGTTGGGAGTCAGGAGAAAACAGGGAACACAGAAAAGAGATAGATTAAGGCTGGATGCTGGTGGCTAATGACTGTTCTTACTTCTGGCTACTTAGAAGGCCAACAACTGAGGACTATAGATCTGAGCTAGCCCTGGCAGAAAAGTCTGTGAGACTCTTATTTCTAATTAACCAGCAAATTAACTAGTGGAGATATGGTTCAAATGCTAGAGTACTAGTCTTGGGCGTAAAAGCTAAGCAAGAACATGTCCTGAGTTGAAGCACCAGTACCTGCACATGCACAAACACACACAAGAAGAAAAAGATACAGTTTAACTGGTAGAATCTCTGGAGGTGGAAGGAGGCAGGGCATGGGTAATGAGAGAGCTTGGCTATAGACATGGCAGCACCACTCTTAGGAGAGAAAGTCGGTAAGTGGATGGGTTTGGATAGCTAGAAATGGTGTGAGCTGCTGTTGGAAAGCTTGATTTCCTCTGGAGAAAAAGAGACTTTATTCTGGAATCTGTAGTTTGAAAGTGTGGAAAAAGTTAGTCACATCCTATATTAAGTAGCAGAATGAGCCAGGCAGGGAACAGACACCAATATGCAGCAAGAAGTCCCAGGGGAAACCACTAAGAAGATCCAGACAAGCAGCCTGTTCTACTCAGTGCTGCTTCATTCATGTTTTGTACAGGCCAGCAGAGGTGGACAGATGAGAAGGTGAGAGAGTTAGTTGGGGAGAGTAGTGAGCTGGTAGATCTTGGCATTAAAGCTGAATATTAAAGACAGTAAAGGCAGAGATGGATGAATAGATAGACCAACCAACCTAAGGAATGAAGAGTAGAAGTACTGGTGTCCTAGAGCAGCTGAGCTGGGAAAAGATGGTAGAGAAGGTTGGAGGTCATAATTTTGGAGGAGTGGTACTATATAGAGCATGGCCATAACCATGCAGAGGAGAGGAGAGGAGAGAGACTGAGACCAATGAGTTAGAGCTGCTGAAGTCACCTGGGCTAGAGGTAGTGACAGAACTTGAGATAGTGAGGATGCATTTGCTTTGGCAGTGATATTTTCAGTGTGCAGAGTGTTTGGAAATGTTGGACACAGAAGACACCGCCTCCTGATCCCCCAAGAGACCTGTTGAGTTGGGAGCACTTCTGTTGGGTGCTTTTTCTCCAAACCTGAGGGATAAATGGCTACCTTTGTGTCTAGCCTTCTATTTCCTCAGTTGCCTGAGCTCAGGCTCACAGACAGGCACAGGTTAAAGCAGCCTTACATCCAAAGAGCCTTTTGGACCACTTGTCCTCAGAAGAGAAGAATTATATTCTCCATGCTGTGATATGTATTTGATATTATGTACGTTTTGTGCAAGATGGCATACATCTGGAGGAGATACTATCAGAAGTGTGTGTGTGTGTGTGTGTGTGTGTGTGTGTGTGTGTGTGTGTGTGTGTGTGATGGAAGAGCCTGTAGTTCAGAAGGAGTCAGGCTGTTCCAGTGGCAATCTGCCTAGAGGAACCCTGGATGGCCATTGCAGCACGTGGGGTATCCTGCCTGGGTGAGTTCCTAGTCCCTTGTGACTCAGTTGCCATGTCCATGATTCCCACCCTCCATTTGCCTGCTTCCCCTCCATTTGTCTTCCCCAGCCCCCTCCGCCCCTCCCCAGAAGGTGACATGTGTGAGCGTGGGCTCTACCACCATCCGGGTAAGTTGGGTCCCGCCCCCGGCAGACAGCCGCAACGGCGTTATCACCCAGTACTCCGTGGCCTATGAGGCAGTGGACGGCGAGGACCGCGGGCGGCATGTGGTGGATGGCATCAGCCGCGAGCATTCCAGCTGGGACCTGGTGGGCCTGGAGAAGTGGACGGAGTACCGGGTGTGGGTACGCGCACACACAGATGTGGGCCCTGGCCCTGAGAGCAGCCCAGTGCTGGTGCGCACCGATGAAGACGGTAGGCAGCCTTGGCACAAGTGGGGGGTGGAAGGGGAGGCACACTGCCTAGGAACTAGACATCCAGGACCTTTCCTCCACCAGCCCAGGCTTTAAGTCCAGTTCTGAATTAATGGTCCAAATTGGAGAGATATAGCTGAGGCAGCCTGGGCCCAAGTTCCATCTTTCGAATAGTCTTTGAAGCAGCTAAAGCCTTAAATAACTAGAATAGGCTGGGCACAGGTTGCTGATGCCTATAAGCCTAGCTACTCAGGTAGCTGAGATCTGAGGATCTCAGTTTCAAGCTGGCCCAGGCGGGAGAGTCCAAGAGACTTACATCTAACCATCAGAAAAACAGAAGTAGAGCTGTGGTTCAAAGTGGTAGAGTACTAGCCTTGAGCAAAAGAAGCTCAGGAACAGTGCCCAAGCCCTGAGTTCAAGCCCTATGACTGACCAAAAAAAAAAGGAAAAGCAGCCCTACATAAGATTTTGGAGATTAAGATTGGGAAGAGAAGTGCAAAAGACTAATAAATAGAGTCAATAGGACTACAACCTGGATGGACATTGACAAGGTATGGGTACCCATGAAAAGTTGCATTGATTTTGGTTGGTTGAAGGCTTAGTACTTCATCTATTCCCCATGTCTGCCCTTCTACCAGGGTGGTGGAAGGAGGTGGTCCTGCCAGAGGGACCTCTTCCCCATGACAGGCAGAGGGTTCATCACTAGAACAGCCAGCCCATGGAAACTACATTAGGGCTTTTCCTAGGAGTATAGGATGTGGAGGCACTGGAGTTTGCTGTGCCCACCTGAGCCAGGGTAAATACCACCAAGCCTGACTTCCTTCTCTACTTGACTCCCAGTGCCCAGTGGGCCACCGCGGAAGGTGGAGGTAGAGCCGCTAAACTCCACTGCTGTGCATGTCTCCTGGAAGCTACCTGTTCCCAGTAAGCAACATGGCCAGATCCGTGGCTACCAGGTCACCTATGTACGACTAGAGAATGGCGAGCCCCGAGGCCCTCCTGTCATCCAGGACGTCATGTTGGCTGAGGCTCAGGTGCGCCATTGCATGGTGGTGGTTGGAATGGTGAAAAAAGACCATTGTGCATTGTTTCCTGCCCTCGGGGGCTACAACTGACATATATGGTCATTACCCTAGAGGTGGCTTGCTGTGTCCAGGGGTGGGTGGCTTGGAGATGAGGAAACAATGAGATGAGATGAGGTTCCAGAGATACTTTTCTTGGAGCTGTCCAGGCTGGGCCAGCTCAGGCCCTGCCAGTCCTAGCCTGGTGGGTTTCACTGACTTAGCTACCAGTATTCACACTGAGGAGATGTCAGACATCCTCCCTCTTCCTCTCACCCCCCAGGTCCCCACTATACACTGAAGGTCTGGCTTTATGGTTTGTAGGAAGCACATTTGTGGCAGTGGTTGGTCTGGATCTTTGAACTGTGCTTTCTTCCCAGGCAGTGCTGTGCTAAGCATTCCCTCTTGGCCACTGCCTAAGGCAGACAAGGACTTGTGGCTCTTTCCCCACCCTCTGGCTGAAGGCCAGTGGCCATGGCAAAGCTCCAGGAGGAGGGCCCAGTCCCTGATGTTTATCTCAAGTGCTGTCAGCCAACTGGAGGAGCCAACTTCCCATGAGATCCCTGGGGTATTCTGAGGCCTGGTGTACTATTCATATGAGAACATAGACCACTGAGAGGTCATGCAAGTAACCAGAATAACCCAGCATGTGGGTGGCAGAACTTGGATAGGAGGCCAAGTCTCTGGACCCATGAAAAATGGCTGCACTTTCACTTGAGAGCCCTCTCAAAATAATCTACTCAAGCATGAAAACACCTCACTTCATGCTCTCAAGGTTTACCCATCTAGAATCAGGGCCTGGGGGTCCTTGGGCTAGCACTGAGCCAGCCAGTCCCAGTGGGAGGATCCTGGATTTCCTTCCGATCTAGCTTCTCACCTCTCCCTGGGAGCCAGGAGTATAAGCATAAATTCCATGTTATATTGGCTGTGCTGAGGGGCAGTCTTAGTCACATAGAGAGAAACTTTGTGCCTCTGGCTGCAGAAGTGAACATTCCTGCCTTCTAAAGCAAAATTTCTTTCTGCCCAGAGGGTGCCCTCTTCCTCATGAGCCTGCCCTGGGTTGAAGGACCAAGGGTGGCAGTAGAGGGCATGCTTATCTATCTGCCTGCATTCCTGGAACTGGTTGAAGGTTCCTCATAAAGCCTCAGTGGACACACCTACCTAGAACATCCTAAGAATGTCTTCCTCCAGCCCCTCCCATTCTAGGGGACCAGAGCCACAATTGTGGCCACTGAGCTTCCAGCAAAACCACTTTGAGTCTTCCCTTCTGATCCCAAGCATTTTGAAAAGGTAGCTAGGGCAGAGGATCAGGGACGCTGCCCTCTTTGCCTTATGTCCTTAAGGGGAAGTATACCTGAACCCAGGCTCCAGGTAGGCCACTGAAAACAGAGCGCCTGCCCTTGTGGACCCTTGGCAAAGCATCCTGTGCTTTGAGCAGTAGGAAACCAGATAGAATCCAGACTCCAGCCTGACTACTTCACTTCCCTCCCAAGAGCACCACAACCTGTCTTTCTCCACTTACCATATCATCTGCTACACCAGGGCCCTCATCAGTTTAGTAAGAACCACATAGCATGTGCTCACCACACCTAGACCTCCCTACAACTAGACCTGTCTCCTTTTCAGCCTGGTTGTGAGGCTCATGGTTCCATCTCCTTTTGTCCTTTACACTCAGTCTGCCTTTTTCTTCCCCACTACTCTGGTTTTATCTAGTTCAACATGTTCTCACTCTTCTCTCTCCTTTCCTTCCCTTAACACTCCTCCAACCCTTCCTTGTCCCTCCCTATTACTCCTTGTTCATTTTGGTTTTTTTTTCCTTCTCTCTTGTTCTGCATCTGATGCAGGAGAGATACTATGTGATAACTCCATGCCTATACCTGGCTTGGACAGTCCATAATTCCCCTAAAGCAAGAAAAACTAACCAGCTGGGCCTAGCTTCATCCTGTAAAGTGACGACAGCTGTTAGAGACTTGTCTAGCATCTTTCCCTATTCTGTTCCAAAGACTGACAAGAGTTTGCCAGACAAAGGGAACTTGAGCCACCCTGGCAGAGAGGACAGACCAGCACTTTGAGAATGGTCAAGACTCTTAAAGCACCTTTATCCTAGACAATGTCATGGGTTATGTTTATGTGCTTTACTTTACCATGCCTCAGATTGGAGACCTCAGTCCCATTACCTACCCAACTTGTACACCTATGCACACTAGTGGCCTAAAGAGTTTCCTACTCTCAGCTATGAAACTGGCATGTCTAATTTAATTCTCAGACACCCACAGGAGGAAACCAGGGACATTCCTAAGGGTCCTTTTTTTTTTTTTTTTTGCTCGATATTGAGGGCTGAACTCTGTGCCTGGGCACTGTCCCTCAGCTCCTCAGCTCAAGGCTAGTGCCCTACTACTTGAACCACAGCACCACTTCCGGCTTTGTTCTGCTTATGTGGTGCTGAGGAAATTGAACATAGGGCCTCATACATGCAAGGCAATCACTCTGCCACTGAGTCAACTTCCCAGCCCCTGTCTTTTTTTGTGTGTGTGCTAGTACTGGGGCTTAAACTCAGACTGGGTGCTGTTCCTTAGCTTTTTTGCTCAAGGCTGGCATTCTTAACACTAGAGCTACAGCTCTACTTCTGGATTTTTAGTGGATAATTGGCAATAAGTGTTGCATGAACTTTCCTGCCCTGGCTGGTTCAAACCATAATCCTCAGATCTCAGCCTCCTGAGTAGCTAGGATTACAAACATGAGTCACTAGCATATAGCTTTTTGTGAGTAGATGGATACGCTGAATAATCATACTAAGGCAAGGATAGGACTACTGACCCAGGTGAACAGAGTATATGAATGCCCCTCATGTGTTCCCTTCCCAACTCTGAGCTTCCACTCCACATCTAGTATCTTCTCTCTCAAACCACCTCCACCTAGAATTCTCTATCCCTTGGTTTCAATCTGCCCTCTCCCTTCAGACAGGCTTCCTTCCAGGTCTCCCTTCCTTGGCCCTGGAATACACAGCTTTTACTGAGTGATGCTGGAACTCAAATTTTTGAATGGCAAAGTGATCCTGGGCTATTACCCCTGTGGGCACTGTAGAAGCCCAAGTCTTCCATCAGCCAGGTTTCCTCCAGGTCCCCTGGACCAGGTCCCCTCCAGCATCTTTCACCATCCTGTCTCCCTTTCTTTCCCTCTCTCGCGGTCAGTGGCAGCCAGAGGAGTCCGAGGACTATGTAAGTAACAGGTGTGCAATCACCAGCAAGACTGGGTCAGGCTGGGCTCATGGGACACTCCCCCTCTCCCAGCCTGTGCTGCCAAGATCCACAGGGCACCAGCCACATCCAGAGAAAATTGGCATTTAGACACAAGCACCAGGCTGAGCAATGATTGGCGTTTCCTCTAATCCTTACTTCTTGCCTGTTGAGCAGCAATTGAGGCCAGTGTTCATGATCGACCAGGACCTGGCCCCTGCTTCCATCCAGACTGGGATGGAGTTCAATCCAATCCTGATCATTAGACCTTATTGATCCTTAGAGTGAAAAATTAACCTGCTCAAGGCCCAGGCTGGGAGAACATCTAGGGAGCCAGGACCCAAAACTGGTACTGCTAAAGCCCCAGCCCTGAGAGACCCTCCAGCTAGGTCAGGATGGAGCCTCCACCTGAGGCTCAGAGCTGGAGGGATGCCAGGGTTGGTGGTGGCAGCCCTGATCCCACTGCACGGTGGTCCCCTCCCTTCTTCCTACTCTTCTCTCTGTATGGCGTGGCTTGATCTCCTGTGGTGTTTTCCGCATGTCTAGAAATTGTGCCTTTGCTGGAGATTGGTGTGGGGGATCCACCAAGCAAAGGAATGCCCTGGGTAATTTCTCAGGCATCAGAGGGAATAGGTATGGGGAGCTTCCCTGGTCTCCTCCTATATTCCCTGGTTTCAGGAGGTTTTGCAGGGCATAGATATTACAGAGGCACTAACCTCAGTGGGCGTTACCCTACCCTGTAGTACGAAGCCTTATTTCTCCCTTGTGTGTGTTTGCTTTAGTGTCTATAAATAGTCCTATATCTGCTAATGTAGGAGGAGCTAAGGTCTCAGTGTTTGCGTGCCAAGAGGCATGCAAGGTATCCAGTGCGTGTGAGGCTCAGTTTCCTCTGTGTGTGTATGTGGAAGGGCCTTATGAAGTGCCATTCACAGCACAATGGGATGAAGGAAACAGTGTGGCCTTTTGTTTTTACCTGAAAGGAGAATGAGCTGTTTGCCGTGGGCATAGGGCTCCTGCAATGAGCAGGCTCCTCCCAACCCATATCCCACCTGGCTGTCGCAACAGAGTCAGGCATTGTATAACCCATTTTCTAAAACCCCTTTCCCTATGAGCCTGGGGGCCTCCTGGGCCAGGGGACTATGGTGGCTGACAGTTTGGCTTCTTCCTGCACACAGTGAGAGGGACTGCTTCTCCTTCCTCCTCAGGAAACCACCATCAGTGGACTCACCCCAGAAACTACCTACTCCATTACTGTAGCTGCTTACACCACCAAGGGAGATGGTGCCCGAAGCAAGCCCAAGATTGTTACAACAACAGGGGCAGGTAAGTGTAGGGTGGGGTCAGGGACAGAACCAAGGGTTGGCAATGAGGAGGGCAGTGCCAGAGCCCAGTGCGTGGTTATTTAGTCCCAGGGCGGCCCACCATGATGGTCAGCACTACAGCCATGAACACCGCGCTGCTTCAGTGGCACCCACCCAAGGAGCTGCCTGGTGAACTGCTAGGCTACCGGCTGCAGTACCGCCGGGCTGATGAGGCACAGCCCACCATCATAGATTTTGGCAAGGATGACCAGCACTTTACAGTCACTGGACTGCACAAAGGGGCCACCTATATCTTCTGGCTTGCTGCCAAGAACCGAGCTGGCCCAGGTGAGGAGTATGAAAAGGAGATCATGACCCCTGAGGATGCACCCAGTGGATTCCCCCAAAACCTACGAGTGACAGGACTCACCACATCTACTACGGAACTGGCCTGGGACCCACCAGTGCTGGCAGAAAGGAACGGGCGCATCACCAACTACACTGTGGTATACCGTGACATCAACAGCCAACAGGAGCTGCAGAATATCACCACTGATACTCGTCTTACACTCGCGGGTCTCAAGCCGGATACCACTTACGACATCAAAGTCCGCGCACGTACCAACAAAGGCTCTGGCCCACTCAGCCCCAGCATCCAGTCCCGGACCATGCCTGTGGAGCAAGGTGTGTGCTGGCAATCATGGCACTGCCTGCCCAAGTGTGGCTGCGCCTGGGGACCTCTGCTCTCCTTGACTCACTGACCTCTGGCAACTATGATCCACCAGCCTCTGCTGTGTGACCTTTCGATCTTTCATGACCATTACCACTAACCTCTAGCAAACAGGCACCGTGTTTCGGGGTATGACCCCAACCTCTGCTGTCCTTGACCTACTGATTTCTACTGTGTGACCTTCCAATCTCATAACCTTGACCTTGGCCTTCTGATTTCTAACTGCACCACTGCATACACTCTGGTGTGCAACCCACTGACTTCTGGTGTGTGGCACTAACCTTGATACTGTGACCCATACACCTCTAGTAAACATACACTGATATGTGGACACATGCTTCTCATGACCACAACCTATTGACCTTTGGCCCCTCTGACATGATGTCTGTAAGCTCAAAATCAAGCATTCGCCCACCCTCTTCTAGAGTTTCTGATGATAGGTGCTGTGGCAGCTGCTACCCTATTTGGTGCTCACTATGGAAGAGCTTAGTCTGGGAGTGGGCTGGAGTTGAAGCTGGCTAGGAGTAGGACTACAGCCATTCCTAACCCCCTGGCCCCTCCTTGCCCTGACCAGTATCATCCTCTGGCCCAGTTAGCCAGCCAAAGCTAACTCCTTCCTTATCCTCTACAGTGTTTGCCAAGAACTTTCGTGTGGAAGCTGCGATGAAGACATCTGTGCTGCTCAGCTGGGAGGTCCCTGAGTCCTACAAGTCTCCTGTACCCTTCAAGGTAGGTGATGGACACAGCCAGCCCAGCCAGCATACACACAGACTTAGTGTATGCTGTCATTCCAGTCCTAACCCACATATCACATGTCAGTAAACTGTGTCCTGGTTGCATAGGCACAGTGCCCTGCTGGCACATAGTGGGGAGCCTCATCCAAAGGCACTGCCATGGCTCTTTTTCCCTCTGCAGATTCTGTACAACGGTCAGAGTGTTGAGGTGGATGGACACTCGATGAGGAAATTGATTGCAGACCTGCAGCCCAATACAGAGTATTCCTTTGTGTTGATGAACCGTGGCAGCAGCGCAGGGGGACTGCAGCACCTCGTGTCCATCCGTACAGCCCCTGACCTCCTGCCACACAAACCACTGCCTGCCTCTGCCTATATAGAAGATGGTCGCTTTGCTCTCTCCATGCCCCAAGTTCAGGACCCATCGCTGGTCAGGTGTGCATATGAAGGCTGGGGGCCAGCTGATGGGACAGGGTTACAGGCTACTAGAGGTGACAACCCTAATTGCTGTTCTGTCTGTCCAGGTGGTTCTACATCGTGGTGGTGCCCATTGATCGTGTGGGTGGGAACATGCTCACCCCAAGATGGAACACACCTGAGGAACTGGAGCTAGATGAGGTACCTGGAGGCAGGAGAGCAGCACAAATGGCTCCAACTGTAGTTGGCAGTGGTCACCTTTCCTTGAGGGTTATGCCAGTAGGTTAAAATCATTATCCTGGCTTCTCTGGCTTGGAGTCCACCCCTTCCTGGAGAGGGACACTCTGATGTGACTCTCTGGAAGTGTTGAGAAGTGTTTGGCAAGAATCTCCTGGGATGGGAAATGGCTCCACAGTTCTAGAGGCCCATGGGAGAGGCCTGTGGATGTCAAGGCCATAGAGGGTCTGGAGTGAGCCATAAGCCTGAGTTCTCTTGAATACATGAAGTTCTCTATCCTTTCCTGACAGCCTGTATGGAAACTGTCTAGTTGAGATGAGATTATATAAGGCCATGACATTATATAAGGCTTTTTCTCATGGCCTGGTGGTTGGACTCATGTTACACTACCTATATTATCCTATAAAGGCTGTGGGCAGAACAGGCTTGAGTTCCTTACAGAAATTGAGCCTCACAAGTGGTAGAGTGCTAGTCTTGAGCAAAAGATGCTTAGGCACTGTGCCCAGGCCCTGAGTTTAAGCCCCAGGACTAGCCAAAAAAAAAAAGAAATTGAGCCTTAGGCTTAGAAGCTGCTGTGCCAGGCCCCAGCTTCAAGGCCCTCTGTGACTTTGCTCTGGCAGCTTCTAGAGGCCATTGAACAAGGTGGAGAAGGACATCGGCGGAGGAGACAAACAGAGCGGCTGAAGCCATATGTGGCAGCTCAGGTGGATGTGCTCCCTGAGACCTTCACCCTGGGAGACAAGAAGAACTACCAGGGCTTCTACAACCGGCCGCTGTCTCCAGACTTGAGTTACCAGTGCTTTGTGCTTGCCTCCCTAAAGGAACCTGTGGACCAGGTCTGCCTGAGCCAGCTTGACTCTCAGTATCCTGACACCCTAGATCTAACCCAAGACTAGGCCAGTCTTACTTACTGAGAAGCTCCTCATCCCTAGGTCTATATTAGCTCTGAGACATTAAAATCCTTAGCTTAGAGCATCCCTTAAGATCTGTATTAAGTGGGCTGGGAAGGTGGCCTGCATGCATGAGGCCCTGGGTTCGATTTCTCAGCACCACATAAGCAGGAAAAAAAGCCGGAAGTGGCGCTGTGGCTCAACTGGTAGAGCACTAGCCATGAGGTGAAGAGCTGAGGGACAGCGCCCAGGCCCAGAGTTCAGGCCCACGGACCCAAAAAAAAAAAAAAAAAATCTGTATTAGGTATCCCAAGACATTTGACCAAGGCCCCGAAAGCCAGATATAATTTGACTCTAGATACCCAGTCCTGATCATCAGATCAGGTCTGGGCCAGCCTACATCCCAATCCCAGAGCCCCTCTCTAGGCTTGATGGGCAGAAGTTGGAGGGCTCATTAAACTTACGGCCTTTGCTATTCCTCCTCTGGACCACAGAAACGCTATGCTTCCAGTCCCTACTCGGATGAGATCGTGGTCCAGGTGACACCAGCCCAGCAGCAGGAGGAGCCTGAGATGCTGTGGGTGACGGGCCCCGTCCTGGCAGTCATCCTCATCATTCTCATTGTCATTGCCATCCTCTTGTTTAAAAGGTAAATGCTATGCTCAGGGTTTTGGGGGACGGCACCTGCCCCTGGCCTCTCAGGCCCTCTCTAATATGGTACATATGAAGCGAATGTTTTCATTCTAGCGTGGGTCCCTGGCCCCTGGGCACAGTGGGAAGCCAGAATGGGCAGAAGCAGTATTTGTATGTGTCAGCCTGGATAGGAAGAGGGCCAGGGCTTTCCATGAACATTGTCAGACATGTGTGTCTGTCTGTTTCTATGAATATGAGTGTATGTGTGTTTCCATTTTAGCTTCCAGATGTCACTGGCTGCTGGTTTCTAGCTTTAAACATGATTCCTCGGTGGTTCTCCAGCTTCCTCTCCTACATGGTCCTGGAGAAATCCACACTAATATTCAGTTAGCAGACATTTACTGAAGGCCTATTGTACCCAACCCATTCCCAGCTGTCACACCTCTGTGTCTTTAACAGTTGGTCTTCTTTTGAGTAGTCACAGCACCTGACCCTGAGGTCTCCCTTTCCTGTCAGCTCTCCTGCTGGCCTTCAAGGTGTTTCCAGAGATTTAACTTTATAACCCTTGATTTGAAACAGGCTGGTGGCTTCCAATCCCTTTAGTCTGGAAGTTGAATGCCTGGCTAACCTTGTCTCTGACAACATCCTTAATATGATCACAGTGAATGGTTCCCAGACCTATGGAGGCTGGACCCTCCTCTGCTTTGCAGCTCTCTTCTATACTGCCTGGCAGTTATCTCCATATCCTTTGTAACTCACTTGTAGACTCTGGTGTCCAGGAGGCTTTCTTTGGTCCCCAGCCCCTCCCAGACACAGCCCGTATCTCCTATAGAATGCCCCATTAGACAGGAGCTGTGGCTGAGCGTGGTGAGCCTCCTGTCCCCGAACACAGAGCACATAAGCATGCCCAGAGGGAGGGTATCTGTCCCATGCATGTATCCTGGTCTATATGTCAGATGTATCTGCTTAGGAGTGCCATTCTCCTGTGCCCCATTGTCCCCCTGACCTTGCCTGGGCCCTGTGCTTCTTCCTGACAAGTTCTTGCCATCCCAGGGTGGTTAGACTTGTGGGTAGTACTGAGGAGTGTCCCCCCACACCCACTCATCCTTCTCACCCTCACCTGGATCCTGGTGTCTGTGCAGTGGTGAACCCTTCTCCCTGCGTCGTGTGGGTGCCTTATGAGGGTCCCGCATTGTCTCCATCATGTGAGAGTTGAGTGTTTGGCAGAAACAATGACCATTCCTTTCTTCTGTCCTTGCCTGTCTTTCGGGACCTAGTAAACAAGAAAGGTAGGAGTTATTCCTTCTCTCTTCACACATATTTCTTTCTTCTTATTCCTGTGCATATGGGCCAGCAGGGAGGGATGGTGCTTTGACCAGAAGCCTCTTGCCTACTGGCTTTCAGCAGCAAGTGGTGTCTGGTCAGCACAGCTGGCTTCCTGGTTTGGGATGAGTCCACATTGGCATGAGGGGCAGGTTTTGTCGCTCTTTTGCCTATTCAACTGCATTTCCTCCATAGAGGAGGTTCCTCTGGAGCTCATGCACGATGCAGCCTTCATTGTTTCCCAAGTCTACAGACCTCTCCAGAACTCTCCTCAGGCTCCCCGTTGTCTAGAAAGTTATCATGCTGCAAAAGATGATCTTGTTCCACTCTACAGAGCAGCAGGGAATAGTGTCTTTATGTATACACAAGCACACTCGTGAGTTCCTCCTTGACAACATAGTACACAACCTGAAAGTGGACTCTGGGTATTGCTCAGTAGCTGGACCCTGTAGTCTGTCTCTGACCCTGTCTTTATGGATGGGAAGGCTGAGGCCAGTTAGAGAAGACTTTGCCCAGATAAGGTGATACTTTTCTTGTCCCTCCCCTGCTGCTCTGGGAATTTACACAGATACCATGAAGGCCAGACAGCTGGGGCCCAGTTCTCTGTGGTGTTTGCATATTATATGTGTCATTGCATGTTTCTTCCTGGTGCCTTCTGCTGCCTCAGGTTTGGCAGTCTTGGGGACAGCAGCCACTGCCCAGCAGTGACCTGCTCTCTGTCCAAAGGAACCACCAGCCTGTGTGTCCCTTTCTTGCTGCTTGCCCTTCCGTATACTCCACACTCCTGCTGTCTACCACACTCCTGTGTTCTTTCATGTTGAAGCTGCTCTGCCCCTGGCTCCTCTGTGCTCAGAGACCCCAGGATGGGGTGGGGTCATAGGGCACATGGGGCTGCTCTGAGCTTGAACTTCGGGTTCTCATCAACCTCCCGCTGCATCTTTAGGAAAAGGACTCACTCCCCATCATCAAAGGATGAGCAGTCCATTGGACTGAAAGACTCCCTGCTGGCCCACTCTTCTGACCCAGTGGAGATGCGGAGGCTCAACTACCAGACCCCAGGTAGGGTGGCTCTTGTGGCTTGTTTGCCCCACTGCTCAGACCACACGGACCTGCAGACTGTTTCACAGGTCCCTGGACTCTCCACTAAAGGACTTTGGGTTCATGCCCCATTTCTTGCTGCCCTTCTTCCTTTTCGTCCTTTTCTTTGGACTAGTATGACTGAGTAGCCCCATATCCAACAAATGGATGGAACCTGGGAACCTCTCAAGGGCCACAGAGCTTCTTATTAGCCCCTGTGCATCTCCAGAGCCTCTGGATATAAGATACAAGGAGCCCACCAGAGCCCATATTCCTGCCATGCGGTGGCCAGTCTGTGTACCCATGTTCTGCCCCTCCATGCAAAAGAGGGCCATGTTAGCAGTAAGACATCCACACTTGACCCTTACTGGAAGCTGGCTCAAGGTTTATCGTGCAAGGACAGGGACCCAAGCCCAAGGTTTAGTACCTGTCCTTCCTCCTCAGCCCCTCTCATGTCTTGTCTAGCGATTTCTTCTCTACAATCTAGTGAACAGCTAAAAGCTCACCTCCCAGAAAGAGACCCCATTCAGGGTTGGAGGCTTTCTTGGCTCCTGGAACCTCTATTTGCATTTTGACACTAACAGAGGGCTACATTACCTTAACGATAATCTCAGAGCTCTGTGGCAGAAGTAACTGTAGTGTTCATCCTCATCCTTGTATTTAACCTGCAGTGGGTTCTTGTTGAATGCTTGTGAAATGAGCACACAGCAGTGGAACAAATGAATGAACTAATGAGCACACACAGAAGGCTTGTATTTGTATGAGCTAGTTATTACTGCATATCAAATTATCTCACACTTAGTGGCTTAAAACAACAATTATGTATTCTCTTTTACAGTTCCTATGAGTCAGGAATCACACAGGGCACAGTAGAGCAATGTCTCTATTCCCAAATGTCTGGGCCCTCAGCTGGAAGACTTCAAGGCTAGGGATAGAACCATTTAAAGTAGGGACTGGCATACTATGGCTAATGCCAAATACGTTCCCACTATGTGTTTCAGAAATAAGGTTTTGCTGGAACACTGCCACACTTATTACTGAGGATACTGCACTATGAAGGATGGAAGAGATAGCTGATGACTGCAAAATCTTATTACTTTTTGGCCTTCCATAAGAAAAGTTTGCCAACCTATAGATGGTAAAAACTGGTTCATTTAGGCAACCTTTAGTTGATGAGCAGTTACACTGTTAGAGCCAGGTGCCAGTGGTTCACGTCTGTAATCCTAGTTACTCAGGAGGCTGAGATCTGAGGATCGAGGTTCAAAGCCAGCCGGGGCAGGAACACTGATGAGACTTTTTTTTTTTTTTTATCATGGTCTCATAGGGGCTGGGAAGGTGGCTCAGTGGTAGAGGGCTTGCCTCACATGCATGAGGCCCTGGGTTCGATCCTCAGCACCACATTAAACAGAAAAAGCTGGAAGTGGTGCTGTGGCTCAAGTGGTAAAGTGCTAGCCTTGAGCTGAAGAGCTGACAGACAGCTCCCAGGTCCACAGTTCAAGATCCACTACCAACAAAAAAAAAGACTTTCCTGTCCAGGCTGGCTTTGAACCGCAATTCTCAGATCTCAGCCTCCTGAGTAGCTAAGATTACAGGTGTGAGCCACCAGCGCCTGGCCTCCGTGAGACTCTTATTTCCAATTAACCACCAGAAAACCAGAAGTGGCTCTGTGGCTCAAGTGGTAGAGTGCTAGCCTTGAGCTAACGAGCTGAGGGGCCGTGCCCAGGCCCAGAGTTCAAGCCCACAACTGACAAAAAAAAAAAATCTAAAGGAGATGCATTCTCTCAAGGCAAGCGCAAGAAGGGAGCCCAGGGAGGGGAAGGTGGTGTACAGTGTTAATGAAGGATGGATTAAGGGCTGGGAAGGTGGCTCAGTGGCACTTACCTTGCATGCATGAGGTCCTGGGTTCTATTCCTCAGCACCACATAAGCAGGAAAAAAAAAAAAAAAAAAGCCAAAAGTGGCGCTGTGGCTCTAGTGGTAGAGCGCTAGCCTTGCGCTGAAGAGCTGAGGGACAGTGCCTAGGCCTAGAGTTCAGGCCCCACGACCGGACCCAAAAAAAAAAAAAAACGAAGGATGGATTAAGCTCTGTAAGGCAGACATTTGATACAGGGCAAACAGGTATCTGTGAAGCTAGAGCTGGGAAGAGCTATACAAGGGATTGGGGACCAAGTGACCTAGAGTAGAGAAGAACCAGTGTCTCTGGCTCGTGAGAACTTGCAGGGGATGGGGAAATGTGCAGGCATTGGGTAAGTACTTAGAAAGAGATGAGAGAGGGTTAGGGAATGAAAAAAAAAATTCTCGGGGTTGGGAAGGTGGCTCAGTGGTAGAGCGCTTGCCCTGCATGCATGAGGTCCTGGGTTCAATTCCTCAATACCACATAAGCAGAAAAAGTGAGAAGTGGTACTATGGCTCAAGTAGTAGAGCACTAACCTTGAGCTGAAGAGCTGAGGGATAGCACCCAGAGTTCAGGCCCCACAACTGACCGAAAAAAGAAAAAAAAAAGGAAAAAAAAGATTTCTCTTAATTATTTATTTATTTTGATCATGGGGTTTGAGCTCTGGAGTCTGGGTGCTGCCCCTCAGCTCTTCAGCTCAAGGCTAGCACTCTACCATTTGAGACGCAGTGCTATTTATGTGGTACTGAGGAGTCGAACTCAGGGCCTCATGAATGCTAGTCAAGAACTCTACCACTAAGCCACATTCCCAGCCCTTCCCTAATTTTCAATATGAAAGTCATCTAAAAACATCCAAGGCCAAATTTTGATAGCAGAAGGGACAAGAGTTTACTTTGGACTTTACATTTGGTCATACAAAGAGCCCCAAGAGGCCACCCAGGTCTGTGTTTGGGAGCACTCACTCTGGAGGTGGGAAATCAATCTGCTACTGGGTAACAAGGGGACCTGTGGTGGGTCAGTTCCTCATCCCTCACTGCCCCATCCTCCTCCCCAGACCCCCAGACCCTCCACTGCCTGATCTCATATCCAAGTGACCAAAAAAGGCTACCCCTATTGTTTTTCTGGTTTGTTTTCTCTACAGGTTCCAGTGCCCCCAGTTGCCCGAATATCTCAAGTTAGTTTTCAAAGTTCCCATGTTTGGGGAAACTTTGGCTTCCATGTCTTTTTCTACTCCTCTCATCCCATTTCCCTTCTGCTTCTCACTTCCTTCTTTGCTTTTCCCCACCTTCATCTCTTCTCTCCTCTCTCCTGACTGTCTCCTCCTCTCTTTACTCCTCTCTTCTGCCTACTTTTCCTCCAATCTCTTTTCTTTCCCACTGGCCCTATCTATCTCTTTGCGTCCTTGCCTCTGCCACCTCTAGTCTCAGTCTGACACTTGTCTGCCTCCTGTCTTCTTGGCTGTCTTTCTCCAGTCTTCCTCTTCATTTGCTTCTCTCTCTGTGTATCTCTGAGTCACACTGTCATTGTCTCTATACTTAGTGGCCATTTCATCAACATAATCAGTGCCTGGGAAGGCAATATCACCAAGTCTCCCCTGGTAACTGATGCCAGTGAGGGGCAGGAAGGCCATCTCTGGGCAGATGTGGTGGAAATCCAGCTTCCATCCTTTCAGCTGTGATGACCTGGGCTTCCAGCCCCAGCCTGGGAGGGAAGAATCTTCTTATTCCTCTTGAGCAGACCTGCCAGGCTGAACCCTGTTGCCCTCACTCAGCGGTGTGTCACCTAGACATGCTCCCATGTGCTGACAGCACACACATCTGCCACGCCCCAGCCACTATGTGTACTGCCATCCTGTTGCTGCATGTGCTGCTGTCTCCATGCCACCCGTGCTGAGTGCTCCATGGTCACATTTGCACATACATACATTGGGGCTGTCTCAGCCATCTTGCTCAAATCTCATGCTAATTCTACTTTCCTATGCCCTACCTCCCCCAGGTATGCGTGACCACCCACCCATCCCTATCACTGACTTGGCAGACAACATTGAACGCCTGAAAGCCAATGATGGCCTCAAGTTCTCCCAGGAGTATGAGGTGAGACATCCCCAGTCCCCACTCATGATGTGATTGGCCTGGACCTAGCCAACAACCAGTTCCTGTCTTGTCCCAGATCCCAGCTAGGACTGGGGTTCTAGACTTTCTTGGTGTACAATGAGGAGGGTCAATAGCACCAAGTTTCAGCTGGGAGAACTGATGGTTCTAGGTATTGGGCCTGGCCATGGGCCTGCCTGGACCCTCTGGTCACCGCTAAAAGGTGCTTCAGAAGGTAATTTGGTAGTCAGATATGTGCCAGATGCTATTAGAGGCTAGCATAGACTATATACAACACAGATCAATAACCATAGTCAGCAGAGGTTATTTCACAGCAACTAGGCACTGGGCATCTTCTCTTTCTGTCACCCCAGACTATTGAAATGGTACTGCCCCGTTCTATAGACCAGAGGGTGGGTCTGAGGGAGGGTCAAACAACTGATGAATAATAGAGCCAGGATTCTAGCCCATGTCTGCCTAACACCCAGTGCCCTATACTTTTGTGGGTTCCTTCCACTTACTCAGTGCCTGAGGTAACAGTGTCACTGAGCTTCCTGTGGTGACCATCACCAGAAGAGCTGACCCAATAGTTATGGGAGAAGCCCAGCTCCCACACTGTTAGCTGCCACCCACCTGTGCCCACACGTTCACTCCAGATATCACAGCTCACTGATGAGACTTGAGACTTGCTACTCAGGCCTTGACTTCCACTTGCCAGGACCTCAGATTTCAGGATATGAAGGTTCCCAGCAAAATCAGCCCAGGAAGGAAAGTTCATGAGAAGTAATAAAGGTTAGACCAACTCTTCTAGGTTTTTGCTGGCCTTCTGGTCAGATGTTCACTCTTAGCAGTTTATATTCTTAGCCCTTCGAAGGGCCAGGTACCAAGTAGATAGCAAAGTTGGTGAACAAGGTTTTCAAAGAGGAACTTAAACTTTGGTGGACACAGGAATGAGCATATTTGCTGCACAAACTTCTGCCGCTACTGTAGAGGCAGTAGGACCTGCTTAGCTATAAACTTGCTGTAGTAATGAAGCTTATAAATTGAGCCCTTTTTTCATCTCTTTATCTGGCTAGAAGGCCTCCTTTGTCTTTTATTCTTTTTTTTTTTTTTTTTTGTCAGTCGTGGGGCTTGAACTCTGGGCCTGAGTGCTGTCCCTTAGCTCTTTAGCTCAAGGAGAGCGCTCTACCACTTGAGCTACAGCGCCACTTCCGGTTTTCTGGTGGTTTATTGGAGATAGGAGTCTCACGGTCTTTCCTGCCCGAGCTGGCTTTGAACCGCGATCCTCAGATCTCAGCCTCCTGAGTAACTAGGATTATAGGCGTGAGCCACCAGTGCCCGGCTTGTCTTTTATTCTTAATCAACCTGTGGCATGTCCCATCCCTACCTTTCTGATGAGGCTGTCTATTGTCTGGACTCAAAGGGTTTCTGCTCACAGATTCCCCTCATTTCTATCTAAGCTTTCCTTACAATATCTCGTCCTTAGAATACCATCTTTTCTCTGACCACTTAAGGCAGCTGTGGGCTCTCCCTCAGCTAGGTTCCCATAGCTCAGTTAATGTTAGTGCTCTGAGGATATGAAAACAAATGTCTTCAGAAGCTCAGTGGGTAAACATGGGCAGACAGGTAATCAGTGTTGAATGTGTGACAGAATATCTGCCCTGATATATTTAAATATATATTAAATTTTCCCAACATGCAAAGGGAAGAGGCTGAGAGCACTGAAGCAGCTTGAGTGTGGGTGTGATCATGGAGGTCTCATGGAAGCAATGGCACCATCGCATGGAAGTAACAAGGCTAGAGCCAAAATAGGAAGTGTGTGTGTTATGCAGAGAACTATGGTTATGTCCCTCAATGACAACTGAACCTACCCCATGAAAATTGATGAAGAAATGCATGAGAGTGCTTCTAACAGTGCCAACCGCTAACACTTAGCTCTTACCATTTCTGTTCTTTGAGGCCATGATTAGCATTAAGGCTTTTAAGCAGAAACTTGACGTTCAGATCTGTATTTTCGAAGGATTGTCCTGGCTATAGGCCAGAGTAGATTGGAATAGGGCAAGAGAGAAGAGGCAGGGAAATGGAGATGCAAGCCTGAATTAGGTGGAATGACCAAGGGCAGTCGTGGCAGATTGAAGAGAGTTAAGGAGAGGAACACTAGATATGGTGAGCGATGGGTAGAAATACAGAGATTTTGAGGTAGACTTGCAGCTGCTGGCCTGGACTTCAGAGTAAATGGATGATTGTGCCCTCTATTGAGAAGACCTAGCAGTAGAACCAGGGGAACCTGATGAACTTGACTTTAAAAATTAAATTGAGATGGTTGCCAGTGGCTCATGCCTATAATCCTAGATACGCATAAACTAGATAAACTACCTAAAAAAGCCAGAAGTGGTACTGTGGCTCAAGTGGTAGAGCAGCACTAGCCTTGCGCAAAAGAAGCTCGGGGACAGCGCCCAAGCCCACGACCGGACCCAAAAAAAAAGAATCCTATGAAGCTGGGCACTGGTGGCTGAGACCTGTAATCCTAGCTACTTAGGAGGCTGAGACCTGAGGATCACAGTTTAAAGCCAGCCCAGGTAGGAAAGTCTGTGAGACTCTTGTCTCCAATAAACCTCCAGAAAATTGGAACTGGTGCTGTGGCTCAAATGGTAAAGTGCTCACCTTGAGCTGAAGAGCTGAGGGACAGCGCCCAGGCCCAGAGTTCAAGCCCCATGATCACCAAAAAAATAAAAAAGAATCCTGTGAGCAGTAAGGGTCATCTGGGAAGGGTTGTAAATGAGAGGAAGCCTGTGTCCTACCTGCAGGAAAGGCAGGTCAGAGGAGCAGATGGAGAAGGAATAGTCAAATAGTTGGAACAGAGCTGCCAAGGTGCACAGTGTCCAGAGCCTTCATCAGTTTCCAACGTGGCCCAAGTAGCTGACTCGATCTGCTTACTGCTCTTTTCATTAGCTGAGAGTGCACTGCCCTCTCCCTGGCCCCACCCCATCCCATACCACTCTAATCACTTGAGGGAATTTGGTGCTTGGTTACTGGAGCTATCTGTTACATTCCAGATAGAAGACCCATCACCTTTGGGGCTGAGGGGGAGGGGCTGTTCAATCTCAGCAGCACCATGGGTAGAGGGTAATGTGGCCTGCAGAGGGATGATGGAGTGAGCACAGCCCAAGAGGCTGGGGTCCCAGAAGGCAGTCTCTTGTCTTGTCTCTTACCCCACCTGCTTCTACTTTCCACAGTCCATTGACCCGGGACAGCAGTTCACGTGGGAGAATTCCAACCTGGAGGTGAACAAGCCCAAGAATCGTTATGCAAATGTCATTGCCTATGACCACTCTCGAGTCATCCTCACCTCCATCGATGGTGAGCCATGGACAGCACCATCTCCTACTTCCCTGTTTTCCTCCTCTTTTCTCACTGGGGTAAAAATTCATTGTAGAAGATGCTCTACTCTTGGGTGCATAAAAGCCTAGAGGATGGGCCTGGGGGCCCTAGGTTAATGCTGTCCATGTCCTTTTCCCTCTGCAGGGGTCCCCGGGAGTGACTACATCAATGCCAACTACATTGATGGCTATCGCAAGCAAAATGCCTACATTGCCACACAGGGCCCACTGCCTGAGACCATGGGTGATTTCTGGAGGATGGTGTGGGAACAGCGCACAGCCACTGTTGTCATGATGACACGGCTGGAGGAGAAGTCCCGGGTGAGATTGAGGGGCCCTGCAAGGACGTGGGTGAGAAATAACTCAGTCACCAGGTGGTGTTGGACACCCTCTTCTGATTCTATGGACAGAAGTTCCTCAAGGAATTCCCCAAGTACTATTCTTTTCCTGGGATATTGTTATATTCCGAAAATACTGGGGTATCCGGGGGCTTGAGGAAGGAATGGAGATGGTATGTTCCCCAGATGCTCTTAGGTTCCTGAGATGTTAATGTGTTTCACCAAATGCTATCACTTTCTGGAATGCTAATGTGTTCCCCAGTTGCTGGCATGTTCCTGGGGTGTTCACATGTTCCCCAGATGCTAGAGTATTCCTGAGGCATTAACACATCTCCTAAGTTAATTAGGAAGAAGAGCTGCTGTTATCTGCTTTTGCACTGCAAAGCATTGACTGGAACATAAAATTTACAGAGCTTGAAAATGGGGCATAAACGTTATGGGTAAATTTGGCAGAAAATGTGCCTGGTGTGATCTGGTCTTAAATAAATAATTTTCAATTATGGCCCCATTCCACCAGTGAGGGCAGAGTTAGTGACACAGTAATGAAGCTTGGTGAAGGAGAGAGACCGTGCATCTGAAAATTTGGGGTAGCCAGACCAAGTAGCCAGATGGGCTGAATCTTACACTCTGCTCTTGCCTGTCAGTGTTTGAGCATGCTCCATCATTGTCGTGTACCCTCTGCCCCCTGTTCTGTTTGTCCCTCTGCAGGTGAAGTGTGATCAGTATTGGCCAGCCCGTGGCACTGAGACCTACGGCCTCATTCAGGTGACCCTACTGGATACAGTGGAGCTGGCCACCTACACCATGCGTACCTTTGCCCTCCACAAGGTATTGATGGCCCCAAGTGCCATGAAACTTGTCTTCCACTTAAACCTTGTAAGGACAGTGGACTGGAATGGGGGTGCTGGCCTGGGAAGTGAAAGGATAGTGTGGTGTGACAGACTCTGTTATGGGAAGAATGCCACAACTCCTTCAGGATGCCTCAGGTGACTCTTGAGTCCTGAGTAGGGGGAGGAGGGTCTGGTCCCAGTGACGGGTCCATTTTGCCCTGGGTCATGGCATACCGACTCCTAGTCAGGACCTGTCTCCCAACTTTACTGTCCAGAGTGGCTCCAGTGAGAAGCGGGAGCTGCGTCAGTTCCAGTTCATGGCCTGGCCAGACCATGGGGTTCCTGAGTATCCAACTCCAATCCTGGCCTTCCTACGACGGGTCAAGGCGTTCAATCCCCTGGACGCAGGGCCCATGGTGGTGCACTGCAGGTGAGAGGCACAGTGCCGTCAAATGGGGTAGGGTGGGAGGTGGGGAACAGTGCCCCAAGCTAAGCCCATGTCCTGCAGTGCCGGTGTGGGCCGCACAGGCTGCTTCATCGTTATTGACGCCATGCTGGAGAGGATGAAACATGAGAAGACAGTAGACATCTATGGCCATGTGACATGCATGCGATCACAGAGGAACTACATGGTGCAGACAGAAGACCAGTATGTTTTCATCCATGAGGCGTTGTTAGAGGCTGCCACGTGTGGGCACACGGAAGTGCCAGCCCGCAACCTGTATGCCCACATCCAGAAGCTAGGCCAAGTACCTCCTGGGGAGAGTGTGACTGCCATGGAACTTGAGTTCAAGGTGGGGCTTGGTGTGCCTACTTAACCTCAGGGGCTTGGACTGGGCCAGGGGGATGGCCCCTTACAGGAGACCAGGCCTAACCAAACCCTTCCTCTTAACAGCTGTTGGCCAGCTCCAAAGCCCACACATCTCGCTTCATTAGTGCCAATCTGCCCTGTAACAAGTTCAAGAACCGCCTGGTCAACATCATGCCTTATGAACTGACCCGGGTGTGTCTGCAGCCCATCCGTGGCGTGGAGGGTTCTGATTACATCAATGCCAGCTTCCTGGATGGCTATAGGTCAGCGCGCTTGTCCTTGCACCATGATGCCTTGGCCTGCTCCTTGCTGGTGGGATGGTAGCAGAGCAGGGCCAGCCCAAAGACCAGAGGGGCCGGCTGGGTAGAACAAACAGTGAGGACATATTGGAGGAGAGGGGCCAGGCAGTCTTGGGAGGCGGGGGCAGCAGCACCTCCAGTATATGCAGTCTTATTTTCATCCAGACAACAGAAGGCCTACATAGCTACACAAGGACCTCTGGCAGAGAGCACCGAGGACTTCTGGCGCATGCTGTGGGAGCACAATTCCACCATCATCGTCATGCTGACCAAGCTTCGGGAGATGGGCAGGGTGAGCCCACCTCTCCCTCTAGTGCCCTTTCCATACCTGGGAGGACACCAGCCACCCTTGGGAAACATGCCCCTTTTACTCCTTTCTCCTTTCATACCATTATCTTAGCCTCAGACCCTCCTTTTCACCACCTCTGGAGTCTTGTCCCAGAGTCCTGAAGCCTGTCACTCCCTTCACCTGTCCTCTCCACCTGATCATGGGGGCTGGGCATTCTGTTCACAGGAGAAGTGCCACCAGTACTGGCCAGCAGAGCGCTCCGCTCGCTACCAGTACTTTGTCGTTGACCCAATGGCTGAATACAACATGCCCCAGTATATCCTGCGTGAGTTCAAGGTCACAGATGCCCGGGTAAGTGTTGAGAGTATGCCTGTTGGCACAAAGGTGTGTCCGTCACAGCATATGATCATATGTGGGACAGAGGCTGACCACAGGATATCTGTCAGAATATAAGATGGGGTACGGGTTTGAGGCTGTGGCATATCTCCTGGATGGTCTTGTGGGTACGTGTCTGTGTTACTGTACTTCTGGCCTAGAGGGGCTACAGCTGAAGGCCCTAAACCTTCACTGTTTCCTGTCCACCTCTCCCAGGATGGGCAGTCGAGGACAATCCGGCAGTTCCAGTTCACAGACTGGCCGGAGCAAGGAGTACCCAAGACGGGTGAGGGCTTCATCGACTTCATTGGGCAGGTGCACAAGACCAAGGAGCAGTTTGGGCAGGATGGGCCCATTACAGTGCACTGCAGGTGGGGCTATTCCCATGAAGGGCCAGGGGTGGAGGGTAATCCTGAAGGCCTGGCAGACCTGCTGCATGAAGCAAGCAAGCAAGCAAGCCTCCTGACCCAGCTGTTCCCTAAACAGTGCTGGTGTGGGCCGCACCGGAGTGTTCATCACTCTGAGTATTGTCCTGGAGCGTATGCGCTATGAGGGTGTGGTCGACATGTTCCAGACCGTGAAGACCCTGCGCACACAGCGTCCTGCAATGGTGCAGACAGAGGTATGCGGACCAGCAGCCCTCCTTGCAACCCTAGCTGCCTGTGCTTATAGATAGACATCTCTAGGCATATATGTTTATGTGACAGGCATTTAGCATTGCCTGTCTGTCCTACTTCAGGTGCAGTAGAGACAAGTAAGATGTGTTCGTTCATTCTGTAGCTCAGGACTGAAAACTGGTGGATTGGTTTTGTAATAGGATTGGACACAGCAGTCCTTGTGGGGTGCAGCTGAACATGGTTTATAGGTAGTTACAGGGACCTGGGAGAGAGAGGAGCAATGAGCCTTCAGATGCTCTTTCCCCCTTCTGGAGATGCTATATGCACCCAGCTCAGTCTCTGGCCAGCATGAGTGCCCTCAGCTTTGTGGTTAGGATATCTATTGGCACTGCCTTCATTGACCAGCCTCCCTGCCCTTGCAGGACCAGTATCAGCTGTGCTACCGCGCAGCCCTGGAGTACCTCGGCAGCTTTGACCACTATGCAACGTAACTACTGCTCCCTCTCCTCCGCCGCCCCCACTGGGGGGCTCTGGAGGGGACCCAGCTCCTCTGAGCCATACCAACATTGTCCAGCCCTCCTGCACGGATGCTGTTGCCAGTGAAGTACAGCCCACTGGGATCACTGCATCGGGAACATTGCCACACCAATCAGAGAGCCCAGACCATCTGGGCGAGTAAGTGGACTGGCAGTCAGGCTCTGTTCACCAGGCCCAAATAGAGCCCGCTTCAAGCTCTCTGTTCAGCTCCGAGTTTCTCATTCTTCTCATGGGTGGGGATGGGGAGGTGGGGCAAAGCCTCCTTTTTTATTTTTTAAGTTTGGGTTTTAGAATAGGGAGTCTAGCCTCTTCCCTGTGTTTTCCTTTTGCAAAACCTTAATTGCAGAACGGGCCACTAGGGGTTGGAGCTCACTTTGTTTTCTTTTTGAGTTCACTTTGGATCCTTTTTTTGTATGGCTTAGTGCTGAGGGACAGAGTATGCGTTCCTCACGTGGAGCTGGGGCCTCTAGCCTGAGCGAGGCAAGGCTGTGGACTGGGAGGCAGTGGGGCTGCTCTTCTAGCCTTTCAGATGAGATCTTGTTTCAGCCAAATGCAGGGAAACACAATTTTTTTTTTTTAAGGTCTTTGTTTTGTTTTTCCTTTACAGCCTTTTTTTAGGCCCCACAGACAGTGGTAGGCGGGGAGGCGATAGGAAACACACATCCCCAGCCATCTATTCCAGTGTGTGTTTAACATTCACAACAGCCCACAACCACAGACATGTCTGGAGGAGCCTGGCAAGGCATTCCTCATCACCATCATGTTTGCAAAGGTTTAAAAAAAAATTTAAAAAACATGAAAATCAAAAGAAAAAAAATAAAAAAGAGAGTCATCCCTGGCCTCTACTTCAGATGGCCAAGAAGGCGACGACATGTACCTGGGACCCACACCGGGCCTGTAGAGCCTCACAGTCCCCTTGCATTGCATAATGGCCAGTGCAGACCATGGGGTTCCAGACGTCTGGCTATGCGAATGGCACAAGTTAGGGCATGGACCACGCCCCACACACCTCAGGGCCAAGCCAAGGCATGGCTGGCCCTTCTGGTCCAGGCCAGTGGGCCTGGAAGCACATGTCTGTCCTCAGCAGGGGCCAGATGGATTTTCTCCCTGGTTTGCAGCTGTTTTCAAAGCCCCTGAAAAATTACTCTTTTCCACTTCTTCAAGATGCCCTCATAAACCAATGTGGCAAGACTACTGGATTTCTGTCAATGGTACTATAATCTTATTATCTTGGCTTGCTGAGGGGCAGGGAGAGGGCCTCTTCCTCTAGGCAGGACTATCTAGATATAGGTAAGTGGGGGCGGGAAAGGGTTTATAGCTGTTTTAGCTGAGGGACAGGATGCCCAGGTCCCGAAATCTAGCTCGGCTAAGTCAAGATCAACAATCCAGGGTTGGAAATGTTGGGTGAAACATTCATTTTTACCTTGTGGATGCTAGTGCTGTAGAGTTCACTGTTGTACACAGTCTGTTTTCTATTTGTTAAGAAAAACTACAGCATCATTGCATAATTCTTGATGGTAATAAATTTGAATAATCAAATTTCTTAAAAACTGGGCCTCTGTCTCAGCTCTTTTTGGATCCAGAGTCTGGGCTCTAAATCAGTAACTTGGGTGGGTTGTAGAGATTTCATGCTTCTGAGGACTGTGTGGCCATCCAGTATTCATCACAGGATGGGCTCTTCTACATGGCTGCCTACTTAAGCTCTGCGTCATAATTGTGAAGAATACCAGGCCAGGGAGCATATACTTTATATGCCTTGCCTCTTCTCATAGGTTGCCATATGCAGTGGGCAGGAATACTGGGTTCCCTCTCCCTCAGGCAACTCCCTCCAATTCCCACACACACACACACACCTCCATTCTAAGAAATAGGATGTTTCTGTGACATTAGTCACTTGGAATTCTTTCATTGTGGATACTGGTCACCAAAAGCACTGGCACACAGCAACATCTACTCCTTGAGCCTTGAGGCCTCTCTAGTGGTGATCACGTCAGTCCTGGTGAGTTGTAAAATCATGGAACTTCTAGATACAGAGATAAAGATGAAGAATAAGTGGTGAAGAAAAACACCTGAGTCAGCAGTTGCTTCAGGAAAGAGCATCATGAGTCATTTTGGAGATTCTGTAGGTATCTAATCCACAGGGAAGCCTTCCTGGATAAGGTAATAAGCTCGATTATGAATGTTTCATAGAGTGAGTAGTGGTTTGTTGTAAAAGGCAGGAAAAGCATTCCTAATGGAGAGAATGATGTGTATAAAGGTTTGGAAGCATGAAATAAACAGGAAGCTGTACGAAGTTCAGTGTGGTTAGGTAGGGAGACACAGCTTAGAAGAAGCCAAATATTGAGTTGATTGTAAAGGGCACAGGAGATTCTGGTGAGTGCCTGTGATTGAAACCTAGCACCAGCTTTTTTTGTGTCCCTAGTACCTACTTCTGTGCCTGACATCTGTCACCACTCAGAAAAAGGTCATCACACATTGCTTGAGTTGTAATTTGAATGATTAGGTCTGAGAATGTGGCTTAGTGTTAGAGTGTTTGCCTAGCATGAGTGAAGCCCCAGGTTCAATTCCCCAGTACCACATACACAGAAAAAAAGCTGGAAGTGGAACTATAGCTCACGTGGTAGTGGTAGAGTGCTAGCCTTGAAAAAAAGAAGCTCAGGAGCTGGGCGCCAGTGACCCAAGCCTGTAATCCTAGCTACTCAGGAGGCTGAGATCTTAGGATCACGGTTCAAAGCCAGCCCAGACAAGAAAGTCCGTGAGACTCTTTTTATTTTTTATTTTATTTTTATTTTACTTTTTTTTTTTTTCCCACTCCACCCCATCCCCTACCGTGAGACTCTTACCTCCAATAAACCACTAGAAGACCGGAAGTGGCACTGTGGCTCAAGCGCTAGAGTGCTCACCTTGAGCTGAAGAGCTCAGGGACAGCGCCCAAGCCAAGTTCAAATCCCACAAAAGACAAAAAAAAAAAAAAGCAGCAGCAGCTCAGGGACACTGCCCAGGTTCTGAGTTCAAGCACCAGGACTAGCCAAAAAAAAAAAATAATAATAAAAGAATGGACTATGAAACATTTTCTTTCTTTATTTTGGTCAGTCATGGGGCTTGAACTCTGGGCTTAGGTGCTGTTCCTGCGCTCTTTAGCTCAAGGCATGTGCTCTACCGCTTGAGCCATAGCGCCACTTTGGTTTTCTAGTGGTTTATTGGCGATAAGAGTCTCACAGATTTTCCTGCCCGGGCTGGCTTTGAACCGTGATCCTCAGATCTCAGCCTCTTGAGTAGCTAGGATTACAGGCATGAGCCACCGGCGCCCGGCCTATGAAACATTTTCATGTGAGATGAAGAGCAGATTTCCACTTGAGAAACACCAGCATTCAAAACTGCCTCGGATAGGCTCAATCTTAAGTGCTTTATGGAGCAAGCTTGGGCTATAGTTCAGGGCCTGTGTAGAGGACTCTTTTTTTTTGGGGGGGGGGGTGGGGGGGATCCAGACTTGGGGCCTGAACTCGGCCTGGGCGCTGTCCTTCAGCTCAAGGCTAGCACTCTACCACTTGAACCACAGCGCCACTTCCGGCTTTTTTCTTTTTGCTTATGTGGTGCTGAGGAATCAAACCCAGGGCCTCATGCATGCAAGACAAACGCTCTACCACTGAGCCACCTTCTCAGCCCCTTTAGAGGACTCTTTATTCAAGGATAAGGAGATTCCCAGCTCAGAAATCATGGGCAGCTGAGCATCAGAGCTGGGTCCTTACCTGCTGGTGTTTTTTCAAGTCCCTGTTCCATTGTCTGATATGGGTCCTCCCTTTCCTGTCCTCTTATGCCACACCTCCCACCTACCTCCATCCCATCCTCCCAAACTTTCACATTCAACTTGTTCCCGACTTCCACATGGCCTCCTGAACCTGTTCAACAATCTGCATTCTGCTGTTGTTGCCAGGTCACCATCCCTAGGACTGCTGCCATACCATCTATCTGGTCTCCTTGTCCCCAGCCCTGTCCTGATCAACGTATTCTCCACAGTAGCCAGAGTGATCCTTCTCATACTAATACTCTGTCCAAGCCCTGGGGTCAGCCCCAAGTCCTTCCCCATTTCCCAGATTCTACAGCACTCAACCCCTTCTCCTCCCTTCCGTGCTCCCCAGCTTCCCCTGTCTCAGTCTTGCGCTTTTCCACAAGCTGTTTTAGATGGTTCTCCCTGTCTCTCTACCTGGATAACCCCCTATTTTGTATAGCTCAGCTGCTAAAAAAGATTTCCTTGAGAAGCTATTCCTAACAAAATTACCTGAAATATATTTGTTCGTGTAACCCATTGTGTGAATTAGGTTCTGTTGATGCCCATTTTATCTTTTAGAAGCCAATGCTATAGGCTAGGTGCCAATGGCTCACACCTGTGATCCTAGCTACTCAAGAGGCTGCGATCTGAGGATAACGGTTCAATCCCAGCGTGGGCAGAAAAGTCCCTGTGAGACTTATCTCCAATTAACCACTTAAGAACCAGAAGTGGTGCTGTGGCTCAAGGGGTAGAACACTAGCCTTGAGTTCAAAGAAGTTCAGAGACAGTGCCCAGGCCCTTACTTCAAGCCCATAACTGACCAAAAAGAAAGAAAAGAAACCGGTGTTTTAGCTGGGCACTCATAGCTCACACCTGTATTCCTACCTACTCAGGAGACTGAGGATTGAGGTTTAGAGGCAGTGCAGACAAACAAATCTGAGACTCAACCTCCAAGTAACCAGCAAAAGGTATTAGATGGATAGCGGAGCAGTCAATGATTGTTCACATCTATAATCCTCTCTACTGGAGGCTGAGATCAGAGAATCAGTTGGAAGGAAACCAGCCCAAACAAGAAAGTCCATGGCATCTTATCTCCAATTGACATCCCCCACTCCCCAAGCCAGAAGTGGAGCTGTGGTTCAAGTAGTATAGGACTAGCCTTGCGCAAAAAATTCTGGGACTAGCCAGGCGCCAGTGGCTCACACCTGTAATCCTAGCCACTCAGGAGGCTGAGATCTGAGGATCACAGTTCAAAGCCAGCCCAGGCAGGAGAAGCCGTGAAACTCTTATCTCCAATAAACCACCAGAAAACTGGAAGTGGCACTGTGGCTCAAGTGGTAAAGTGCTAGCTGAAGAGCTGAGGGACAGAGCTCAGGCCGAGTTCAAGCCCCACAACTGACAAAAAAAATAAAAAATTACAGGATAGCACCTAGGCCCTGAGTCCAAGCTCCCCACTCCACCCCCAACCCAATGTTTTACCTATTTGTGCAACAAAGCGGCACCTGGATATGGAACAAATATCATTGAGCTAACAGATTGCTCCCTTGGGGGCATGTGTATTCTAGCATGAGATAGAGGTGGATATGAAAAATAGTGAATAAACATATTTTGGAAAGAGGATTTGAGGAAGACTTCAATGTGGTGAGGGATTTTTTTTCTGCCATCTTCAGAATGAGTATTGAGATAGAGGAGGCCACTGGTACCAAGGCCCTGGGTGGAAATATGCCTGGTATGTTGAGGCTAAGGTGGCCTCGACACTGAGAAAGGGCAAGAGAGTAGCAGAATCAGGTCAGGAGGGGAATGGGGCAGAAGTCCAAGTATGAGAAGTGTCCACGTGATTATCTTGAAGACGGGGCTGAGGGTTAGCCAATAGACTAGAAAAGAAATAGAGAAGGCTAGATAGAGGCTCACACATGTAATCCTAGCTACTCAAAAGGCTGAGATGTGGAGAATCTCAGCTCAAAGCAGACTGGATCTATAGGATTCTATCTCCAACTAACCAGCAAAAGGCTTGGCTCAGAGTTTGG